GCCTGGTCTTTGTTTTCCTATATACCCGAGGTGCCCACCAAAAGAAAGCCCTCCCAAAGCTCTTCATATGCAGCAAGCCCTGGCCAGTTTGGGGGTGATGCCATTTTGAACTCAGCCCATCTACTTTCCGGATGTCCTGAATAAAACTCTATTCCTGCATCACTCTGGCCTTGTGTGTTCCTCCCTCCGAGATCTAACATTTGGTGCCAAAACCTGGGAGGGTTCAGTGGGTGGGAGTGGGCGTTGACTCGGCACCGACACCTCAGGTGTGCCACTCGGAGAGCAGGAGGCAGTGGAAGCTTGCCTTGGGCTAACCTGGGGGTCCCACGGGTGTCCGCTGTGGCAGGCTGGCTGTGCCCTCTCGAGCCAGCCAGCGCGGACGCTGGACCGGGAGTCTCTCCCTTCCACTGCCGACCACCTGATCAACACTGGCCAATTCTCTGGGGTAAGTGACCTGCCACTCACTCTTGGGTCTTATGTCTCTCACTGTCTCTCTAGGGGTTAGTGACCAGCCTCTTGCTCATACGTGACTCATCACTCACCTCTCACATCTCATATCTCAAAAAACCTTGCGCAAGGCCAGGAGACCCCACGGCCTTTGGCCTTGGACTCCGGTAACCCAGAGGCCCAGCTTACAGGACTCCCACTTACTCTTACGCTCTGCACGAGCCTGACCAGAGCGGCGGCTGCTGTCACTCTTAGTGGCTTGTCACTCATTGGCCTCTCTCAGAAATTCGGCTTGGGCAACACCCAGTCTACCTCACTGCAAACCACGCCTTTGGGTTGTCTCAAGGCCCTTAACAAGTTCAGACTCACAGGAGACATTAAACCCAGGCGTCTCATTTTCTATTATAATACTGCCTGGCCACAGTACAAATTGGATAATGGCCCCCAAAGTCCCCCAATGGCCTGAAAATGGCACTTTTGATTTCAACACTTGGCGTGATCTAGATAACTTCTTTCACCACAACTGAAAGTGATCAGATTCCTTAGTCCCGCCTTCTTCACCCTCCAATCCCGACCCTCTCTGCCAATCCTGTTCTAACTACCAAATTTGCTTACATGCTAAGCCTCCTACTCCTGACCCCCCTGACTCTGAGTCTAACTTGGAGAGGGCAGATGTTTGCAGGATGGCCTGGTTGCTCTCCCATACTGCCGGCAATATTGGAATACATGCCCATATACAATTTAGCCTTGTCTCTGTTTAATTGGCTCAAGTAGTAACAGGCAGCCCAGAAACATTCCTTGTCCAGTTTCATTTTCTGGCATCTGGTGGGATCACAAGCGAGACTCCTCTGGGGTGAGTGCTGGGATCCCACTTGCTGCCTGGGCAGGGTGTTTCTGGGGCTGAGGCCTAGCGTGATGCAGTGCCTCTCACCTAAAGTTGGAGCACTCTGTCACTATGTGGCTCTACTTCTGCGGTTCTGTAAGAGAGGCCTCTGTTGTTTGTTGCCTCTCATCCGGTAAGAGGCTGATTAGCTCCTGGTTGTAAGTGACCTCTCATGGTCCTTGCCTGGTCTCTGAACCCGAGCTTGATCAGTTTAGGGTCAGGGCACTGCTCTGTGTGGTACAGGGCATCTGTCTGGCTATACAAGCGAAAGGGCATGGTAAGCCACGAAGCTCTCGCTTGTCTGTTGTGCGCACTTGTAAATATTGTATTGGTTTTTGTCTTGTGTAACTTTACCTAACTGGTTTAAAGATGCCAGTGGGCCCTGGCCAGTTTGGTTCAGCGGTTAGAGCGTCGGCCTGCGGTCCGGAGAGACCCAGGTTCGGTTCCCGCTAAGGGCACGTACTTCGGTTGCAGTTTGTCCCCGGCCCTGGTTGGTCGTGCGGGTGGCAGCCACTCGATGTGTCCCTTTCACGTCGATGTTTCTCTCTCTCTCTCCCTTCCTCTCTCTCCCTCCCACTCTATCTGTACAAAAAATGGAAAAATATCCTCGGGTGAGGATTAAAAAAAAAAAATAATAAAAATAAATAAATAAATAAATAAATATTAAGATGCCAGTGGGTGGGCTGACGCCGTGGCAGGGATTGCAGGACCTTCCCCGGGGAATATCTCTGCTCTCCCTCTCAAGGCATCAGCCCCAAACATGCTTCGCCCGTAAAAGAAAATAGGTTTGTTCTGTTTAAGCGCTAGTAAGAGTTCTTGTCTGTCTGTAACATAACTTTGGTTTTGGATGTTCTTTGCTCGCGTTCTTATCTGTTGGGGACTTGGTTTGCCCTTCCTTATTTTATGAACACAGGGAATCAATCTTCTGTCTCTGCTGTGTGGGCTTCGTGCCACGGAGACCTTGTGAGGGCCATTTCGCGGTGCCGGTTGGTGTGAGATATGAGTCTGAAGCTGGTGTCCCAGTCCTTCCTTTTGAGAGCGCTCACTTATTTACTTTACATGTTGTTTCTGTTTCTGTTTTGAGATAAGATAGGATCTCTTCTTATGTGTAAGATTTCATGTTGTTACATCACAAAGATTCTATTTAGAAAGATCTAAACTGATGGTTCAAAGGGGGGGAGGATGTCTCACTCCCCTCCCAGAGAATAAAAGAAAAATGTGATGAAATAAATCTTTTAAAGCCTGTAGATCCTCCTCCTGGGGTCCGGGAGCTACAGTGGCCGCGGGAAGAATGGGGAAATTCATGCCACCCTGAAACCCTGTGCAGGCTGTGGTGGCAGCGGGGCCACTGCCCCACTTCGTGAGAAGGGAAAAAAAATGGTGCTTTTAAATTCAAGCCCCTGGCCCTGGCCGGTTGACGCAGCGGTTAGAGCGTCGGCCAGCGGACCACAGAGACCTGGGTTTGGTTCCCGCTAAGGGCACGTACCTCCGTTGCAGTTCGTCCCCGGCCCTGGTTGGGGTTGTGTGGGAGGCAGCCAGTCGATGTGTCTCTCTCACATCGATGTTTCTCTTTCTTTCTCCCTCCCGCTCTATTTGAACATAAATGAAATATAAATAAATAAATAATCAAGCCGCTGGAGGCTTGGGAGCTGCTGCAGGCCCTGGAATAACCCACAGGGCCTGTTATCTCACGCGTTTCTTCTCCAGCCTTCTATATATATATGTATACACACACACACACACACACACACTAGTTTTTCAAAGTCTTTGGTAACTTAAGCTTTGGAGGTTTGCTGGGTTAAATGATTAAAATGTCAAATATCTAGGTTTTAAAAATAACAGGATACTGAAATATTAATCTGAGTTTGCCTACTTTTGGCTTATTATTACAGAGAAGCTGGAGGATGGATTTAGATCTGTCAATGAATATCTTATATAAAAAATGACTCTTGAAAATGTAAATGTATTTTCCAATGGAAAAAGAAGTAAGACCTGTTTCTGAAAGTTATGTGTTCATAAATTTGCCAGTCTTTAAGGTATTAAGAATGACTGTCACAGGGCCAGAGGTGTGGCTACAGAACCTATTTAAACCCAAGTTTTTTCACCTTCACCAAACCTTCCGTATTCAGTTACAGATAATTGGCTTCATGAAACCAATGTCCTAGGAGAAGCTTCGAGAAATTTTATCTGAGGCATCTTTTAAAATGCAAGTTTCTGGGAGGTAATCCTTATAGAAAGAAAAAACATTAGCTCTCTGAGCAAATCAATTAACTTATTTCAGCTGTTAAACATGGATTGCTATCTATGCCCGAGAGATGTGGCTAAGTGGATTGCGCATCCTCCCATGGAGTGAGAGGTCCCAGTTCAACTCCTGGTCAGGGTACATGCCCAGGTTTCGGGCTTGGTCCCCAAAGAGGGGTGTGTAGGAGGTAGCCAATTGATGTTTCTCTCTCACATTGATGTTTCTGTCTCTCTCTCCCTTTCTCTCTAAAAATAAAAATAAAATCAATGAAAACATATTTTTAAAAAAACATTGGTTGTTAGACAAGTCTTAAGTAAACCTACTTTTGGCCTTTTATTATAAAAATCTAGAAAATAGATACCCAAGTGGAGTGGTCTAGGAAGCTGTGTTTGACTTTTCAAATGCAAGGCTTCTGATAATCATTCTTATCATTATTATTCTCCTTTAGGGCAACTAACCTGCTGCCTCATTTAAACACAGCAGCTTCCTCTCCCTGAAGTATCCCCTCACTCAACAACCATCTGTGGCTCCCCTTTGCCTGCAGGATAAAGGTCACATTCTCTGGTCTAGGAGTTCATCTGGCTTAAGCCCACTTTCCAAGTTTATCTCCCCTGTGCTGTAGCCTCCGGTATTTTCAGTGTCCTCAACGCGACACTTTGCCTTCCTGTCTCCAGGCCTTACTCACTGTTCCCTCCTCCCGGATGCTCTCTCCCATTGCTACCTAGTGTGTTTAGCTCCACCTTTCCGACTTCACTGTGGTACCAACTCTCCCACGAATCCTCTTCCCTCGGCCAAGCCAGAAGAGACCTGTCCTCTTCCCTGTAAGGGATTTAGCTCCCACCGAATGACACGCCAGTCCCCGAGGAGTTGGTGCTCATAAAATAAAAGTCATAATGACCAATCCTCGGCTCAAAACACTTCACGTTCACTGACTCATTTAATCCTCACCACAACCCCGTAATGGAGGTACTGTTAGTATCCCCACTTTACAGATGGAGGAACCAAGGCTTCGAGATGCTAAGAACAGCGTCCAAGGGAGCATCAGGCCAGGGTTGGAATCCGGCAGACAGACGGCAGAGCCCACTCACGTGCCTCTTCGCACCACAGGGAGCCCGTGCCCACTGGTCTGTGTCACCCCTGCCAGCCCAGGGCCTGGCGCAGAGCAGGCGCTCGGTACATGCTCGGCGGGTGCAGCACACACGTGTCCGGCCTCCACTGCGCACCTGCCTCCCTGTGCTGGGAGCCCCGCAGGGCGAGGCCCAGAGGCGGGCTCAGAGGTCCTAGGCAATGCGACCAGACAGCTCCCCTGGCCTGCATGTCCACACTGTCCTCAGACCCTGGAGGGTCAGACTGAGGCCAGGACAGATGGGGCAGCAGCTTGGCTTGGCCGCCGGTCAGTGATTAACCCACTCACTCTGGTCACGACAGGTGTCAGAGGAGTCCAGAGTGGGACGAAAAGGGAAGCAGGCAAGAACATCAAAGTCCAACGGCAAGGGACTCAGGACCACCTAACCTAGTTGGTCACACCCATTGGACAGGTGAGGAAATCGAGGCCCGGGAGCTGGAATGACTTGCCCAAAGCTGAAGCGCACAGAAAGGTCTTGCAAACGCACCGGCCTTTTCTGGGCCCTTTCTCCTCCCCCTGCCCGCTGACCTGGACCCCCGACCCTGGACACTTTGATCATTAGCGGCGTGTAGCCCAGTAACCAGGAGGCTTGGGGATCCCAGCAGAGGAAGGGGTGCCCTCAGGTAGCTTCCCTAGGCGGCTGTGCCCAGGCAGCAGCAGGCCCTACAAAGAGAACTGGGAGAGAAGTTGGGAGGAGGCCAGCTGCTAATTGTGGAAAATAAATCAGAGTCATCTAAACCACGCCGCGAGGAAGGGCCGGCTGCACGTAGACGTTTCCCTCTGTGCTCTTGCTCATCGAGTTCAGTCGTTCACTGGAAGCCGTGATGTATATAAGTGTCCGGGATACCGATGGCTCTGGAAAGGAGCCGCCTGCTGAGTGGCTCGCGGGACGCGGAGGGGTCTCAGGAGAGCAGGGGCTGAGGCGGGCAGCTGACCAAGCGGGCAGCCAGGACAGACCTGTCCCTTGCTGACAGCTCTCTGGTTTTAGAGCACAAGGGCGTGTGTTCAAGTTTCTGATTCTTCACTAAAAACGGAGTCAAAAGCGGTGCCATTATATTGATCTCTCCGTTTAGTAAGACAAAACCTCCCCCCCTTTCTGACCCTGAGCTAACTGAGGACAGGGCCGTGTCCCCCCTCAGACTAGGTCTGAGCTGAATTTTTCCCAATAGACTAAGGTCTCCCTGAATACAGGAGTGGTCTAGGAAGCTGTGTTTGACTTTTCAAAACCAATCGTTTCTGCACTGGAACCCCAGGTACAACTGACAGTGGGGAGCAAATTCATTGATCTCTTAGTCTGATATACTTTTGTTCATAATTCTGAGTGTTACCTTAAAATGTTGTTACAAGATAAGCAAATTTCTTTGTCCAATGCATTTTAATCAAATCTATACCATATCATTTTAAGGTTTTTTTTTTTTTTGTCATTTACCAACAGTCACTGTTTTTGTTATAATGCATTTGCAAAGATGTTACATCTTCTGAAAGATCTGACTTACTTTAAATTATATATCTCTGAGAATAAATTTTCGGTTACTCCCATTAAACTAGATGAACATTACTAGAAGTCTGGGAAATATCTGAATTTATGGAAGTACTGGCAAGAAAATCAGGAGAAACAGAATTTGATTATAGGACTAAATGAACTGAAAATAATTGTTTTTGTAATTCTTTTAAATATTGCTGATTTTTAATCTTTTCGTTTTCCAGACATAAACAAACTTGTTCCTTTTCGCAAAGCATTTAGTAAATTATACTTTCATAAGCAATATTGAGGCATTTATATTTTTCTCCTTACCTGATCCCTCCAGAATGTGGAAGCTCTTAGTGAGTGAGTATTATTACTTTCATGGCAATACGTTTATTTACATGAATCCAATAGAAATATTTCTTTATAACAGGACACATAAAGCCAGTTTCCTAGTGCGGTTTTACTAACCAAGACTTTGACTGGAGTGTCATGTCTGAGAGACATGGCTGGCTCTGGATGTCACCAGGAAGCTGTAAGGAATGAAGATGGACTTTGAAGCCAAAAAAGCCCCTGGAGACATGGCCTGGTACCTTGCGTGGCCAAGTGGTTCATGTCAGTGTTTCCAGGTAGAGAACTTTCCTGAGCGATGGTGAGAAGGAACCTCAGCATCTGTGGGAACCTCAAAGACTTGAGAACACAGCCCAAATCTGCAGGTATGTCGGCACCACCTGATGGCAGTTGTGGCTTTGGCTTCTCTGCCCTGAGGGGCTGACTGTTAACTGCTCACCAGAGCTAGATCTAAAGATTCCTTATGAATGAGCAACATTCCAGCAAAGTAAAATTGGAGAAAGCCTATGAAATCAATTTGATCTACTGATAGTTTTGTGTTTATGCAAATAACCAAGCCAGGCTGGAACTAGACTTGATACAGTCTCTTTAACTGGAGGGTACTCTTAGGGAGAGAAAAAAAAAATTATGTCTCAATGAAAACCACAATACCCAGTTGTGGGTGTTGAACTCCAATGCAGTTAACTGTCTTCAAAGTTTTGTTTAAAGCGGTGTCTGTGTGCCATACATGCCTTAGCCCCTGACGGCCACAGAATGTCAGACTGTCCTTACGTCTGGAAATCTTCTCAACTGATTTATGATTTAATGTATACATCAACCTTTATGTTCTGTGTTCTTCTGTTTCACAGACGGTTTGCCTATGTCCTTGTTTACCTAACTGCTTATTCACACAGTATAGGTTTCTGTCTCGTAATAGAAGAGGAATGCTGCTTTACTTAAGTCAGTCTGGTATAGTTAGGGATACAGCAAAAACAAAACAAAACAAAAAAACAAAAAAAAAACTAGCCGATTTGGCATAAAAAATTTGGCAACAACTCTCAGAATCTTAGGGCTCATTGTTATAAAAATTAAATTACACCTCTTGGCTCCTTCCTTTAGTGGGACCCCTGTTAATGCTCCTTCTTGCTCTTCTTTTTGGTTCCCGAATCCTACACCTATTTTCTTCACTCCTCCAGAACCGTGTCCGGGCCTTCGCTAACCAGTCCATTGGTGAGATGATGCTTCTTCAATCATCCGTCCGATACCAACCCCTATTTCTTTTTTACTTTTTAAATTAATTTATTTTTGTTACAGATGTTTCTCCTTTTTCCCCAACCCCTATTTCAAGTTCCAGAAGGCCAGTACTGCATTCCAGTCAACTACTATCAAAATCCTTCTCCCTATGATCCCAGCACCCCCTCCAGCAGGAAGTAGTTATGGAAGAAATGACCTCCGCCCCAGTCCTTAATAACAAAAGGCCGGAATGTTAGGCCAGAGCACCCTGCCATAGGAGTGCCTCTGTAGATGTGGCCTTTCATTGTTCATTGCCCACCCCCCATTGGTATGGGAACCTGACCCTTGGCAGTTTTAGTCAAGCAATTGCCATCTTGTTTGCCTGGTCTTTGTTCCTGTACATACCCTGAAGCTTCTGTCAAAAGAAAGCCCACCCAAAGCTCTTTATTAGCAGCAAGCCCTGGCCAGCTTGTGGCTAATGCCATTTTGGACTTAGCCCGTCTCCTTTACAGATGTCCTGAATAAAATTCTGTTCCTGTTATCACTTTGACCTCCTGCGTTCCTCCCTTGGCAATCTAACAGCAGTCAGGTGGCTTAAAGGTCCTTATGAAACCAGAAGGGGAAAAGGCACCTGGCTTTGTGCTACTACCTGGGCTGGCATTTGCTAGACTGCAGTTTAATATCCCTTCCCTGTCTGACCACCAGGTGCTCTGCTAACCCTTGCAGCAAGTGACCTAGGGGTAGTGAATTTGTGGTCCCTTTCTTTGATACAAGTGATACTCTTGGGAGCATCTGATACCTTCCCCCTTGGCTGCGACTCCCTGAGGCCCTTTCCTTTCTCTCCATTCTGCACCGCGGCCTGATGGTTGCCCCGCCTCTGCTGAGGCCTCCCTCACTCCTTCCCCCGTAGCATGGCAGCTCAGAAAGGCTAGCTCGTTAGATTAGTGCCTTTGCCAAGCAGGCTGATCGTGCCAACTAGACCCTCTCAGACTGCTTTGTGCTACTCACTCCATTCACACCTCCCTTCTCTGTGGCATTCTCTCCATACAGCTTATTACCAGTTGACTACCATTTAATTTACTTCGATATTTGTCATCAGCTCCCCTCCATCTCCTGACATTATGTGCTCTGGAAGGCAGGGCTTGACTGTTGTGTTCCATGCTCTTTCCCTAGTAGCTGGGTCAGTACCTGGTACAAGTGAGGATTTAATAAATATTTGCTAACTTGGGGAATGAATACGCTTCTGTTCTTTACAATTATTTACAATTTCCAGCAGTTGAGAATAGTACTCTGATTATAGTGGGTGCTCAGTAAGTGTTCTTTGATAACCCATTTCAAAATAGAATACCGATGTGGAGAGAGGGACTCACTGCAGCTCCTTCTGCAGTGTGGGTACATCGCAGCTCAAGTATGACTTGGCCCATAGGGCAGATCTGAACTCTTTTTCTTTTTTAGGATCTTTTTTTTTTTTATTAAATTTTTAATTTATTTTTTAGTTACAGATATTTCTCCTTTTTTACCCCATTGGCACCCCCCACCCCACACCCCCTCCACCCTGTCCCCGGCATAGTTGTCCATGTCCATTGGTCATGCATACATGCATATAAGTTCTGTGGTTTATCTCTTCCCACCCCACCCCATCCTCTTCTGAGGGATGTCAGTCTATGGTCTACTTCCATGTTTCTGGGTCTACCGTATTCCTCAGACTGTTATGTTCATTATATTCCATATATAAGTGAGATCAGGTGGTATTTGTCTTTTTCTGCTTGGCTTATTTCACTTAGGAGAATACTTTCCAGGTCCCTCCATGTCATCTCAAAGGATAAGAGCAGATCTGAACTCTTATAATTTTTTTTTTTTCCACATCTTTATTGTTGGATGTAAAATGTATTACAGATGTTCCACATTTTTCCCCCATTGACCCCCTCCTCCCCACTCCCGCCCCCCTCCCACCTTTTCCCAAACTATTGTCCATGTCCATTGGTTATGCATATAAGTTCTTTGGTTTATTTCTTCCCACCCCCCCAACCCCTTTCCCTTTGAGGTTTGTCAGTCTAGCAATGAATTTGTGCTTCTTAATCCCTTCACCTTTTTCATCCATTCCCCCAACCCCCTTCCCAACTGGCAACCAACAAAATGTTCTCTGTATCTATGAGAATGTTCCTGTTCTTCCTGTTCATTTTGTTTGTAGATTCCATTGTTGATAGATATGTATTCATTGCCATTTTGTTTGTTCATACATTTTATCTTTTTCTTTAAAAAGACCCTTCATCATTTCATATCATAACGGTTTGGTAGTGATGAACTCCTTTAACTTTTTCTTGTCTGGGAAAGTTTTTATATGTCCATCAATTCTAAATGACAGCTTTGCAGGATAGAGTAATTTTGGTTGTAGGTTCTTGGTTTTCATCACTCTGAATATTTCTTGCCACTCCCTTCTGGCCTGCAAAGTTTCTTTTGAGAAATCAGCAGACAGCCTAATGGGAACTCCCTTGTAGGTAACTAGCTGCCTTTCTCTTGCTGCTTTTAAGATTCTCTCTTTGTCTTGAAACTTTTGCATTTTGATGATGATGTGTCTTGGTGTGTGCCTCCTGGGGTTCATCTTATTTGGGACTCTCTGTGCTTCCTGGACTTGTATGTCTGTTTCCTTCACCAAGTTAGGAAAGTATTCTGCCATTATTGTTTCAAATAGGTTTTCGATTTCTTGTTCTCTCTCTTCTCCTTCTGGCACCCCCAAGATGCGAATGTTGGCACGCTTGAAGTTGTCCCAGAGGCTCCTTACACTATCCTCATTTTTTTGGATTCTTTTTTCTTTTTGCTGTTCTGATTGGGCATTTTTTGCTTCCTTATATTCCAAATCGATGGTTTGCTCCTTGGATTTACGTACTCTATTATTGAAGCTATGTAAATTATTCTTTATTTCAGTTAAAGCCTCCTTCGTTTCTAACTGTGCAGCGATCATTTCTGACTGGTTCTTTTTTATGCTCTTGAGGCCCTCACTGAGTTCATTGAGCATCCTTATAAGCAGTATTTTGAACTCAGCATCTGTTAGGTTGCTTATCTCCATTTCGCTTAGTTCTTTTCTTGGGGTTTTGTTCTGTTCTTTCATTTGGGACCTGTTTCTTTGTCTCCTCATTTTGGCTGCCTCCCTGTGTTTGTTTCTGTGTATTACTTAATGAGAGGTATGGGGCTCGCTGAGACCCGACGCTGCTCGTTTGAAAGAATTTAGGAAAAACCTGAAGCAGGATCCAAGACCAGCCAATCCTATGGTTAAGCAAGTAGCAACAGCTTGGGCGGGCTTGAAAGTTGTGCGGGGTGGGGCGGGGCCTCAGGGAGTCAGCAGGGCGGGGCTACCAGTGTGAGCCAGGTTGCTGGAGTCCCAGATATGGCGACTGTCTGCTGCCCCAGGGAAGGGCTCACCAAAGGAACAAAGGCCTCTTACCGCACATTTGTCCCAAGGAAGCCCCCTCTCCAGCCCTCGCTCCAGTGCCAAACAGCTCAGTTCTTCCCTGTATGTCTCTGGTGCCCCTCGAGCTGCCTCCCCTCCGAGCTTAGAGGGAGAGAGTCCGATCAGTCCGTGCGCGGGCCCTTTAAGGAACTGCCTGGGGCTCCAGCCGCTTCAGCTTCCCTGAACCTCAGTTTCCGCTGGTTTTTCCAGCCAGAAGTTATGGGGACTTCTCTTCCTGGCACTGGAAACCTGAGTGGGGCACCTGGTGTGGGACGGGGACCCCTCAGTCCTCAGGAAGGACCTTCCCAGCCGCAGGAGCCTCCTGATTTTTATCCGCCACACTTGGGTGTGGGACCAGCCCGTCGCGCCTCCATGCCGCCGCCGCGCTGCCGCCGCCGCCACCCCTCGCGCCACCGCCCCTCCTACCGGTCTGGATGTAGCTGCTTTTTTTTTTTTTAATTCCGTAGTTGTAGGACTTCCATTCAGCTTGATTTCAGGCGGTTTTGGATGATGGTTGTTCTGTAGTTTTGTTGTAACTTGGATGTGGTTGTGGGAGAACGTGATACTGCGTTTCCCTACGCCGCCATCTTGACCGGAAGTCCAGATCTGAACTCTTATAATGGTTCAGCATTCCGTGTTTTAGGAAGAAAAGCATCAGATAACAGAGAATGAGTATATTTGCTTTCTACTGTGTATTTC